GAGTTTAATACAACATTCGAAGAAAAACGTGTCGGCAGGAGCCCACAAGAAATTTTAACGCGGCCAACATTCAGAAACGTACTTACTAGCCATCAGGGCACAATATGAACGCAAAATGGAATTGCCCCTCGATACGGTGAGTTTTCCATAACTTTGATCCTCTATCTGCCTGACTATAGGGTGTGTGCGCACGTAATGTTTCAAAAATAACTAGTTAGATTAGTTGAGGGTCTTAATTAATGGGGGCCTTTGGGTGTCAGCTAAAATTTAAGCCAGTTGTCAGTGCGATATATTGCAAGCTGGCAGTAGTCGGTTACTGCAAAATGTTGACTCATCATTTCTCAGTTGTCAGTTAGGATATTTTGTCAGTTTTCAGTCAAAAATTCAGGCAAATGTCAGTAGTCAGTTAACCCCATTCAGACCCTCTTAGTTATAAGCGGGGAAGTTTTCGTCACCCAGTCAGCTGCACGAAGTTCTCAGCGGTGGAATAAATCCACACAAAACTCTACGGGTTGTGAAAATATACAGAGCAACAAGACGTACATATTTGTAGGTCAAAATGGTGATCAGTCGAATAAACACTATATGTAAGCACTTAGTAAACACTTAGCCTACTCACATTAAAATGTAGAAAAGAACCTTCTTGTGACAATGTATTTGCAAGCAGATTGTTCGTTCCCTATAGGTAGTTCTATACGCAATTTGAATATTGCTGTCGTTCACTTTTGCTTCGATTTCTGTGTACTTCATCCAAAACAGACTTTACAGGGCTACAAAGACGTTTCTTGTTTTAAAATTATCAAACATTACGAAAAAAGTGTCGAAAAGAAGCAATATTTCTCGCATGCAAAATGCTTTATGAATTTGTCTGTTGAGTTTCTGTCAACTACCGTTTAGCGACTTCCGTTGGTCTTGTTTGCTCAACAAAACTCCCAACAAGAATAAGCCACACCTAATTACAAAACGTGACTCATATGGTATATATTTCCATTCGATAATTTCCATCAAGAAGACCCTTGAACTAGATGAGAATGCATGTTATTGCTTTCATTGTTGTGGCTGTACGCTGCAATATTTGCCAACCCGGAACATTCCGGTGAATCAGCAAATTTCCTACGTACAAAGCTTGAGCACGGGAAGACAAACATGACAATCGTAACATCGAATATTCACGACTTAACGAACCCAGACATTTTCAATGTCAAATATATTTGCTAAAACAATCGGCAAATTTTATAATGCCAATTAAAATAACGTTAAGCATAGCTAGTAACCGTTCATATGCTCGTAGATGCAAATATTAAATTGATTACAATATATGTCTGCCCACATTATTATAATTTTACACTTATGCATACAATTTATCATGAACCCTCACCCTGGAATTCGTCTATGATACGGTTATATTTATTATACTGATCCGAAAATATATTTGTCAAACGTCCTGTATATGAAGTTGAACGTGTGATTTCGGATGCTTTGGCTAGAATTATGGATTGGAATAGGAGCCAGGATACTTGAGTCTTGACGACAGAAGAGCGTTGCGATAATTTAAATTCGTCTATGACTAGAGTAAAAAAAACTTAAATGCCTTTTTAAGATATTAATAAAGCGAACCCTTTTTAAGTTGCGGGCGTTATTCACATTTCACAAAGATTGCAGCGGCCTGAGATTTCAAAACATGAGAGAGCACAAATTATGAGTGACCAGCTATAGTACAGATAATGTTGAATCATTGAATGTACATAGTATTTCAACATTTATTAAGGTTTCGTTTATTATGCGGACGAAAGAAAAACGCACTTCACGCGAAAAGCATTGCTCAATCAAATCCCTCCAAAGTAATATTTTTAGAAAGTCAAATGATGCCTCTACAAAAGTGTGAGCGGCTATACAGTATAGGTTTTCTTTTAACTTTCTTTCTAAACCGTTCTTCTAACTAACTTGTTTTGAGTTCGAAGAGCAATAAGGGAAAAATGAGAATGAAATCATATATGGTTACCAGACGCACTTTGTAGTCCTGGTTCTTATGCGTCTTCTGTGGAAACGATGAAGAAAATTGGGCAAAACCTGAGGTTAACAAAAGGTTTTTGAATCCAGCAATATTGCTGCAGCATGCGTGGGTTGAATATTTGCGGTTGGGCGGATGATGCTAATTTGACAGTAGTTTCCTGTAGGGAATTATTCAATTATTTCAATAAATTCTTATAATTTTATGTAATCATATAGTCTGGATTATATGATGTGTTATTTAATGAATAAATATAAAATAGATATAAAATAGATAATAATTTATATGGAAAATACTATATTTGCCGTATCCATACGATATTGAGCGCTCAATAACATTAATAGTGGACAAATCAGGCTCATAGAAAATATAATATATGCATGTAGCGTGCGTGGGTTGAATATTTGCAGTTGGGCGGATGATGTTACTTTGAGTTTCCTGTAGGGTGTGTGCGCACGTAATATTTCAAAAATAACTTAGCCGATATAAATTGAGTAGTTTTGTCGTAAGTCATTTGCACGAAGTTCTCAGCGGTAGGATAAGCCTTGCCTGATCAAAGCCAAAAATTACAAACAAAGATCGGGATTCATTATGAAAGTGTCGTAGGTTTGTATAGAAGACGTGCTATTGTAATCAATGTTTTGCTGCTTTGTCAACAGAGAGTGCCCGTGTTAATACGATGGAAAAAGCGTAAAAGGCAGAGTCGGGATGAGGATCCAACATCGCCGATAAAAGCTAGAGAAATGAAGGACATACTGGACGAGTTGAGTTTAAAATGAAGTTACAAAAGAATAAAGACAGGCCCAAAAATTTAAAAATATGAGTGAGAACTTGGTATAGTATTATATATGTGTTACACTAAATCGTGAATTTTGACTTTGTTTTGTGATTGTTTAGAATTAATGCCTGAGATTGCAGTGAAATTGATACTGAACATAACCTGTGAAGTAAATTGAAATGAACAGTGGTAAGACATTTAGAACTTTAATAAGAACGTTTTTAGATATTTACAAAAATTACAAACAAAGATCGGGATTCATTATGAAAGTGTCGTAGGTATGTATAGAAGACGTGCTATTGTGATCAAAGTTTTGCTGCTTTGTCAACAGAGAGTGCCCGTGTTAATACGATGGAAAAAGCGTAAAAGGCAGAGTCGGGATGAGGATCCAACATCGCCGATAAAAGCTAGAGACATGAAGGACAGACTGGACAAGTTGAGTTTAATTTAAAATGAAGTTACAAAAGAATAAAGACAGGCCCAAAAAATTTAAAATATGAGTGAGAACTTGGTATAGTATTATTTATGTGTTACACGAAATCGTGAATTTTGACTTTGTTTTGTGATTGTTTATAATTAATTAATGCCTGAGATTGTGAAATTGGTACTGAACATCACCTGTGAAGTGAATTGAAATGAACAGTGGTGAGACATTTAGAACTTTAATAAGAACGTTTTTTTAGGTATTTACAAAAATTACAAACAAAGATCGGGATTCATTATGAAAGTGTCGTTGGTACTGTATGTATAGAAGTCGTGCTATTGTAATCAAAGTTTTCCTGCTTTGTCAACAGAGAGTGCCCGTGTTAATACGCTTTTTGGAAAAAGCGCGTAACGGAGGGTTTTCCAATGTGCAAAGTGACCTTTTTATATTACTAAAGATCTAATGTAGAATGTGTCATGTTCGTCATGTACGGGCTGCTGTAATTGGCGTAAAGCTGTAGCCATATACCCTCGATCCATTGATTGATAGTTTGTATATTCTTGTATTTGTATTTGTGCAGATATGATTGTGTGAAATTGGCAAAGCATAATAAATAAATAAATAAATATTTCAATGTTTTAACTTTATATGTATATTATCGTAACGTACTTAGTTTTAACTAATTTGACAGTATGCGCGCCAGATGCGACGGAAATTTGTTATTTAATAGCGTGTTAGTCGTGGCGCTCTCGTTGTGTTACTTGTGTAGTACGAAAATTACACAACCTATCTGTAAAATACTTTACCCCACTAGTTTATCGAGTCTTTCAACTTTCAAATGTTCAATTAAACTCATGTATCATAATTTAAATTTGTGATGTTGATCAACCGTTTAAATGGACCCTCGTGCGTGGTTGCTCCTGCCATAGGACATAAACTTACTTTTTTATTTTAATGGGAACTGCCCGCATGGGACTTGGAATCTCGTTTGTTATTTTAAAATTAGTGTATCTTTGTCTAATTATTTGTTGGTACAATTTTTGTAAATATAGTTGTTAATAATCCAATAAAGTTTTTAAAAACAATTCATTCAAATTTGATTTAATTTACAAAATCATTATATACCTAAACTGTAATAAACAAATAAAGCTAGCGGGGGAAATAGATTAGCATGCTTTGCGGTCCATTTGGTAAATGTGTAATTCACAGGTTGATTTACTGTATGTTTAGTATTTTCAGTTTTAATTCAGTTTTTGAAACGAAACCTTACGAGGGAAAATAGCGTGGGTTGAATATTTGAGGTTGGGCGGATGACGCTAATTTGAGATAGTTCCCTGTAGGGTACACACCCTATATAGTTATTTGCACACGTAATGTGACGCAAATTGTTCTTTGGAATGACGGAATACAGAAGATGTATAGGCATAACGGTTGCAACCTTTCGTAATCAAGACTCCGACGGTAAACACAGGATTTGTACAAATATCACCAAATTGTATTAAAGGTAAGATGTTCAGATGAAATATATACAAATGTGGAGCGATTCCAAAAGTCCATTTTATGGCTTTCAAACATCATGGAAACGATGTATTAATACATCTATAATATTCTTTATACATTATTAAAAAACTCAATAATTCATGAAGAAAACACAAAGAAAAATCATAAGCGTGTCGTATCTGTATATATAATAATAATAATAATAATAATAATTTATTCAAACAAAGTCCCAATATTGGGACATGGGTAAATAACTAAATAAGAATACATGGGTAAATAACTAAATAAGTCGTTACCGTCTATAACAATAACATAGATATTAATATATATGAAAAAAGTTGATAAATGTATAAATACACATACATACACACGCACACGTGAGTAATTAGACCAGGCTATCAAAAGCAGCCAAAACGTCGAAACAATATTTGCCTACTAACTTCATTATTGACTTATCCTTCATAGCCATAATATATATAAATAGATTTTTCGAAGTAAATAAGTTGAAAAACCTATTTATTTTATATAAATTATCAATGAATTTTGTCCTGTGGTCGATGAACTTCATGTTTGTACAAGACATTAAAAAAGTGATGTTCATCTCCTACTTCATTTAACTCACAAAGTCTGCATAGTCTATCATTGTATGGGACATTGTTGTATCTACCAGTTTCAACAGTTAGCTTATGTGCTGATATTGTTAACTTTGTAACAGCTTGACGATATTTGAAATTACTAATTTCGTTTAAGTATTTTTCACATTCAAAGTGTTTTTTTATTTTTCTAAAAGTTCTTAGCTTGCCAGTATTTTCGACAGGTTGAAACTGCTCTACCCAATACAATATAAACGCTTCTTTAAATCTATGTTTCACGTGATGGCAAACATTTCCTTTTTCTGTGTCAGATAATTCCGTCTGCAAGTTGGATAATTCAGTTTGTGAATCCCAATTTTCTCCCCCACATAGTTGCAGTACATATTTGAGAAAAATTGTTGACTTTAGGTTAAGTTCTATGCATACATTCGCTGCTTTTCCAACAAGCGTGTTTGAGAACAATGAACTTTTTATTCGAAACCAATATTTTACAACCAGCTTAACTAGTTGAACGATCAAAGGCGTTCTTCCTAGCTCAGCATAAATAGCCATGTTTGTTGATTTTGAATGAACTCTATGCCCAAGAGTTCTATGCCCAAGAATTATATAAATGGTCATACCGTTTCCATGGCCAGCGAGAACCTATAGCCTCCTGCGCAGACGTTGTTAGTGGCCTAGGCCTCACCTAACGTCAACGTCGTACCCAGGCTCTTTCCACTACGCGCCTCGCTGGAGGAAAGACCCTGGTCCAGGCTGGTCACATGTGTCCCAGATTTTTGGAGATAACAAAATTTTTACCTAAGGGTGGGGGGGGGGCTAAGTTTTATTTTATCGATCTAGTTGCCGATGTCAATTCGATAAAGTTCAGAGCGCGTGTATATTAAAAAATTGTGTATTTTATGCATGTAATTGTAATGAATAGCAAGAGTTTGTGTTGCAAAATCAATGGGTGAGATGTCTTTGTATTATGTATTCTTTGTGGATTGGATTTGCGACGTCGCTCTACGCAAGATCTACATACTGGAGTCTTTCAGTTTCACATATTGGGAAAACCGCAAAGAATTATTAGGAAAGGATTTGTAATGCTGTATACTCAAAGACAAGCAAAGGATATAATATTTGCCAAGCAGCCGACAGCGAGTCTACTGTAAATTGCCGTATATTTTAATCATAAGTGGAACGGCTCGATATAACATCGACACATGCATTATAGAAATAACAGTACGAAAATATATTATATTTTAGTATAAATTTCCAGGTGACTATTGATTTTTCTCCATTCTGATTGGTCAAGATTCACTGTCTCTGAAGTGATAGTCACTGGTCAGTGACTATAGCTTTTTTTTCAAAATGGCTGCTCGTTTTGCCGTAGTATAAACAGAGGAGGAAATTGCCAAAATTAAAGAAGATAGCATTCCGTAAAAACCCAAACAAGCTACAAAATATGGTTTAAAAATATTTCAAGGTAAAATATTAAACTTTACGTGCTTTTATTTGGAAAAAAACTGGCTTAGTCGCAACGCGACACAGAGCCGTGTCTGAGATTTAAATTTTGTAAACAAACTATTTATAGCGAAAATAAATTTATTTGAAGTGAATTTTTATAAAGTTGTGTGGATTATTTTTTGTAAATACCTGGAAATTTATACTAAAACAATTAGTCGCCTCAGGCTCGGTGATTACAAGCCTATATTCACTTCGCCTTCGGCTCAGTGAATATAGGCTTGTAATCACCTCGCCTTCGGCGACTAATTGTTAAATAGTGTGCACATGAGTATCGATAGTATGTCTATTTCCTCGTGTTTCAATAAGACAGTACTCAGTGGATTATATATATTTCGAAATGTACTTCATGCACACACGTTTTTAATAGAGAGTCAGCTTCGCGTTCATACGTTAAAGGACAAACGTTGGGCAAAGGAAAAAATAAGCTATATATAAGACAATAGAGAGTAAATAAACTTGCTATTTTAAAACTGTATGTATAATTTTGTTTTATATAAGAAAGAAAATATGAAGTGAAGAAGTTTTAAGCGAAAATGCTGCAAATTTGACTATGATTTGCCTCAGCCGTTTGACTCCTTATATAAACAAACATTCAGACCAGGTGTTTGTCAGACAAAGTCCGCTAATTTAAATTTGTCTGCGAGTATTAATTATAACTTATAAGGTACAATCTTTAGAATATATTGGGTTTTAATTGTATGCCTTATCTGTCGTAACATGCTAAAGGTTTTAAAATAAATTCCAAAACAGAAAACAAAGCTTTCACCCCGCAGCTAAAGCAAGAGCACAGTATACAATTTTATGTAAACTTTGATCATATTTCACTGGGGAAACAATCGATTGCAAATAAATACGCTCCTATAAACACCCAAAATATAGCATTGATTAGAGAGAATGTCGAGCTAAATAGTCTGTGTATATTAATGTATTTATCTATTCTTCATTGAAAATGTTCAGTTCAACAAAATTGGAAAATCGACCACACAGTACTTTACGCGAACAACGGTTATTTTATAATCGTTATGACGAAAACAATAACCGTTATGACGTATTTTATGGAAATATATGCCAATAAAAACTTCGTTTCATGATAGTCCTTTGTGTTGCTTTATTCACACTCTTTGTATTATTTTGAACTCGAACGCCACATTTGCCTTCCCTACCCCCATAAGTCCCAACTGCTATCTCCCAAAATCTGGGAGACACGTGACCAGCCTGGACAAGGGTCTTTCCTCTAGCGAGGCGCGTAGTGCAAAGAGCCTGAGTACGAGGTTGACCTAACGTCTGCTCACATTCGCTATACATTTGACTTCCCGGTAATTAACCAATCACAATCATCTACACGATAATTGTAAGATCGACCTTCAATGACCTTCACATGCATGGGCTATTATCAACAAGTCCTGTAGTAATAGGTTTTGTTTGTGGAAACACCACGTAAATTTATTACTGCAAAGCTTTCGATCCGTAAAAAAAAAAAATTAAAAAAAAAAACCTATTATATTTTATCACCATGCAAACATATAAAGAAGTCCTGTAGTATTTTTAAATTTGAAAGTTTTAATACTGCGCAGAAAAAGGCTTTTCATTCTATTATAAACGAAAAGAAGGATGTTTTCGTAAATCTCACAACTGGCGCAGGAAATCACTTATTTATCACGCCGTTACCGAAGCTATTCGATGTATTTATTTATTTATTTATTTATTTAGCTTCGCCTTGACAAAAAACGTACACAATACAAGTACAACAATTCATATACATGAGACATAAAAAGAGGCGGAGACACCACAACAGTTTACACAAATTACTGTGGGCCCTTTAGTTAGAATTAGTGACAAAATACAGACGAAAAAAATCAACTAATTAGTCTAGTAGCAACAGGGATCGGCATCGATTAGATTACGCGATGTGTTGCACTTCAGGCAAACAGTTTTCCAGGTTCGAGCATCATCCACGTCGTAACAAGATACAAGGGCATTATGGTAGTATTCTAATAGTGACAATGCTAAATGAGAACGAAACAAAAGACATTACAACAAAGGCGAGTTAGATATGGGATCGGGAACGGACTCGAAGTCCCAACAAGGCAAACCCCGCACATAAATTATAACTAGAAATTTACACTATTAAGAAAACACAAAACTTCAATAAACAGACAGCCCAGTCTCTCGCTCAGGTTGACTGCACATACCAACGGCCACTTTAAACAAATAATTGATGGAAATGATTTCGGAAAATAATCTTAACCCAAGCGCTATAGTACTAACCCTAATTCTGGTCTTAAGATAAGGATGCATATTGTACAGTCAATCTGAGGAAGAGACCGGGATGGTACAGTGTAGCATTCTCCTCAGTAACACACCTTCTTTAAATATTCGCATACTAGAAAATACATGCATGCAGAAACCCTCGCCTTGCTGACAAAACCGTTGTATTTTCCGAACAGGAAGTATCTAGAGTAGTTGTCATGGTAACACGATAATTTTTTAAGAATATTCTTACAAATGAAAATCACCTAAAAATATCACTTTTAATTACAAAATTATCAATTTCCCAACATATATATGTTAGGTATGTAATTATACGTAATACAAGCTTCAATTTAAGGTAAAATTCAACCACAAACAATTCACAAAACGTTTTAAAGTGTTCTTTATAAAACTAAACTGCCTTTAACTATTAAATGGCTTTATCGATAAACTTTGAGTTTGCAATAAAGTGATTTCAAATTCTCGCTTGCAAATAACTTTGGTCTTTGCTTTATTTTTTATTTAAAAAATTCAATATAATAAAAAAGGGAATCAATATTAAAGTTACACTGAAATTTATATATGCTGTCTTGTTTAGTTGTTTCATATACGCAAAGGCCGTCGGGTTTTAAAGCAATTATAAAATCAATATTTAAAACAAACTTACCTTCGTTAACGTCGGCTCCCTTCTTTTAGCTGATTCTTTCGCCCTTCCTTTCTTGAAATTTACAAAATCTTGCAGAAATACGAGCCAAAATGAAATATATTTGCAAGAAATTTATCAACTCATCAAATCAAAAAATGTTTGCTATTTCGCTGTCGTCATGCAGTCGTTATAATGCACACTTTAAATTGGACCAATCAGTGTCCTTTATTGATGACAATCCGCCATATTTTTGAGATCAGTGAGGATGACCACCCATCGTTGGTGACCGACGCCCGCGCTCATTGATGAACTTTAGACTTCGCTAATGCTTTCGTTTCCCCGGGTGTAAATAGCCGGGGGGATTAGTACCCTCGCACGGCGCTTCGCGCCGCCGGCGATCGGGGATAAGTATTTAAACAAATTGTAAACATTGTATTAAAACATTTAGTATTAAATCGTGGTTTCGCCATTGATAAATTCAATGCGAGATCAAGTAAACAAACAAACTATACGATCTAGGAGTCATTAATATGCTGTGTCATTAATATTAAGTTGAATGACTTGAATCGAGAGCGACGAAGAAGCGAAGGCATTGGAAGAAGGGAACTATTCTGTATTATGTAGCTTAGCAGAATGGTTTGTGCTTTGCCTTTGGCTATTGATGCATGAAGCTCATATGATTCAAGAATGGTATGTATTAAGACAGTATTATAATCAATCCTAAAAATGTGTTCGCTTTTGTAATTCTCAAAGCCACAGGAATCGATCGGGCTTGGCCATTTTAATAGTCGTTAATATTTTATATTGTTTATTAAATGGAATTTGTCTTTTTATACATTGCCTCGTATTATCTATTGCATGTAGTACTAGCATGCAAGTTTATATAAGCCTTTCAGTTATGAAGGGTTTACATCAGAGGGTTGGTGTGATGTATATTAACTAGAATGGCTCATAAACTTGCTAGTACTATACATGCAATAGATAATAAAGGATAATAGATGCAATAGATAATAAGGCCACTGAAAATTGATATCATGTTTCTCGTCCCCGCCCGCATGGGATTTATCTGCCGCACGAAAATTTTTCATTATTCATTATTTTTGAAAAATAGGCTTAACAAAACACCGAATTGATCTCCAGATCAAAGTCTTATTGCTACATTCTGCAAGCGCAACTCAAATTGTATCTTTCTAAAGATATTACTCGCCAGAATGCCTCTATTTTTCATGTCAGCCCTGGGAACGATGATCTTGACATGTGATCATTTTTTTCCAGTTTGCTTCTGATTTCCTGTGTTGCAAAATAATCTGTTCGCGTGGTTTTACTGCTTTTTTGAAAAGAGAAATCATGCATATTCATGTTTTATAATGATCATTTATGTGTAGAAATATACTGTAGTGTAGGACGTATTAAATTAAAATGAATTATACACCGATTTACTTCAGAATTCAAATACAAAAAATAATGAAAAATGAAAAATGAAAAAATCCCGCTCCAAATTTTTGAAAATTCTGGACGAGAAACATGATATCAACTTTCATTGGCCTAACAAGGCAACGTATAAAAAGAAAAATTCAAGGTAATATAAAATAACGACTATTATGTAAAATGGTCAAACCCTTTGAGAATTACAAAAGCGAACACATTTTTAGGATTTATTATAATACATACCATTCTTTAATCACATGAGCTTCATGCATCAATACGATAATAGCCAAAGGCAAAGGCAAAGCACAAACCATTCTGCTAGTCATATAATACAAACTAGTATTATATTCTTGGCGTCGCTCTCGATTCAAGTCATTCAACTTAATATTAACAAAAGCGAGCACTGAAGATCATTTTACCCGCGAACTCATATAGCGAAACTTTAGAATATTTCAATCTTCAACTTTGTTCCAAAGACGCGACGAAATGTGTAACAAACTTTTTACAAATATTACTAACAATCCGACACACAAACTGCATAATTTACTGCCTCCCAAACACGAGTCGGTTTACCAACATAGGAACAATAGACTGTTTGAACGATTCGGAACTAATACAGAAAGATTTAAAAAAAACTTTTATTCCTATGTCGAGTAACTTAAGTTAATGTAATTTTTAGTACTAAGCGTTTTAATGACCATTTGTAAATATGCCTAATTAACCCATATTCTATCTATTAAATAATGTTTTATATACTCTTGTAAATCACGCAATTCAGCTGTCCAGCTGCAAGGTGAATCTTAAATACACTATCTATCTATCTATCTATCTATCTATCTATCTATCTATCTATCTATTAATGATACAGCACTGACTCCTAGATCGTGTAGTTTTTTTTTTACCTGATCTCGTATTGAATTCAGTTATCGATGGCGAAACCACGATTTAATCCCCGAGCCGACGGCGCGAAGCGCCGTGCGAGGGTACTAATTCCCCCCGGCTATTTTCACCCGGGGAAACGAAAGCATTAGCGGAGTCTAAAGTTCATCAATTATCGCGGGCGTGAGTGACCAACGGTGTTGGGTGGGTGTTCATCCTCACTGATCTCAAAAATATGGCGGACTGTCACGAATAGCGGACACTGATTGGTCCAATTTCAAGTTTGCATTATAACGACTGCATGACGACAGCGTAATAGCAAACATTTCTTGATTTGATGATTGATAAATTTCTTGCAAATATATTTCATTTTTGCTCGCATTTTTGCAAGATTTTGTAAATTTCGAAAGCTCTCTTAGAAAGAAACTGCGAAAGAATCGGCTAAAAGAAGGGAGCCGACGTTACGAAGGTAAGTTTGTTTAAAATATTGATTTTATAATGGATTTAAAACCCGAAGGCCTTTGCGTATATGAAACAACTAAACAAGACAGCATATAATTTCAGTGTATCTTTAATATTGATTCCCTTTTTAGTATGATATTGAATTTTTTAAATAAAAAAGAAACGAAAGTTATTGGCAAGCGAGAATTTTAAATCATTTTATTGCAAACTCAACGTTTATCGATCAAGCCATTTTAAAAGGCAGTTTAGTTTTATAAAGAACACTAGTGACTTTAAAACGTTTTGCGAAGCGTTTGGGGTTGAATTTTACCTTAAATTGAAGCCTATATTACGTATAATAACATAATAACATACGTAACATGTATATGTTGGGAAATTAATAATTTTGTAATTAAAAGTGATATTTTGAGGCGATTTTTTATTTGTAAGAATATTCTTAAAAAATTATCGTGTTACCATGACAACTACTTTAGATACTTCATGTTCGGAAAATACAATGGTTTTGTCAGCAAGGCGAGGGTTTCTGCATGCATGCATTTTCTAGTACTACATAGTAAATATTTACAATTTGTTTAAATACTTATATGCGAATATTTAATACATCGAATAGCTTCGGTAACGGCGTGATAAATAAGTGATTTCCTGCGCTGGTTGTGGGATTTACGAAAACATCCTTCTTTTCGTTTATCATAGAATGAAAAGCCTTTTTCTGATGCGCAGTATTAAAACTTTCAAATTTAAAAATACTACAGGACTTGTTGATAATAGGCCATGCATGTGAAGGTCATTGAAGGTCGATCTTGCAATTATCGTGTAGATGATTGTGATTGGTTAATTGCCGCGAAGTCAAATGTATAGCGAATGTGAGCAGACGTTATGTGAGGCCTCGGCCACTAACAACGTCTGCGCAGAAGGCTAGCGAGAACCAAGAAAAATCTATTCCGCAAATAGTATATTCCTCTGGAAGTACATGATTGTTTTTTTCCTTTTTGATAAAGTCTTGTTTGATTCAGCAACTGACTAGCGTGTGAACTAGCTTCTGCTTTTTTTAGCGGTTTCACAGGTGATTTTGCATCTGTAATGAGGCCATCTCAGTGCTTTGTTCTTGCTGTTTTTCCTACCTTTTTCCGTTGTCCGCGATTCTTTTCTTCTTCGCAGGACTCCTTGTAGCGTTTCGCATGATTGTACCGATGCTTTCAGTGTTCTTCTAAATGAGGTGTCATCAAACTTGCTGACATTTAATTTAAGTTGCTCGAGAAATTCTGCAAAGTTGCTCGGTAACGTCATAAAACATGGATTAGATATTCACGTTTGAAAAATATGTCTAGCCATTATATACATAACGCGGTTAGCGTGTAATAATGGTTATTAAATAAAACCTTTGAACGTTGCCAGTTAGACTAACGCCCGTATTCTATAAGCTCATTCAACACTCAATGAGTCTCCGTTCAATCTCAGCTTCTCTTGGGTGTCAATGTTGTTTTTGAATAGCTGGAGGATGAGTAGTCACATAGTAAGGTATGACACTAACTCTCCAGTTATTCAAAAACAGCATTGACACTCGAGAGAAGCTCAGATTGAACCTCCACTCATTGAGTGTGAGTGAGCTTTTAGAATACGGGCGTAAAAGTGGATTAAGACTACTCCAGTTTATATGACTTGCTCTTATAGAAGATACCGATCTTATATAAAGCATAAAGTCATACACCTGTATTCTAAAAGCTCGCTCACGCTCACACTCAAAGAGTAGAGGTTCAATCTGAGCTTGCCTTGAGATTCAATGCTGTTTTCGAATAGCTGGACAGTTAATAGTCGCACATGCAGTAAGGTACGATACTAACCTCAGATTTAACGTTCCTCCACTTCCACTCTTTCACTCTCTTTGAGTGTGAGTGAGCTTTTAGAATACAGCTTATAGTTTGTTTCATGTTGTTTGGGTAGGATATAAATTATGTGTTTGACCACAAAACCAAAAGTATGATACAACATTATTATTTCAATTGATGTGCGCGTCAGCCAACGTTTGAGAAAACGTCACACTAAGTTCGTTATGATACGGTTGAAGTGGGAAACGGTCATAAGTCACAATGACTGTGTTAAATCAAAGTCAATTGCATGTAACCTAATATGCATAACTGGGCAGGCAAACCAAATAACTAGCTCGGATCAGTGCACGCTAAAATTGTTTCAAGATTATACATATATACATATATAATAATATCAGTTCACTCGAGCTCCCCAATCGGGGTTTTCAGTGACCAAGCATTACGCTTAATTATCTACTACAACTTACTGCTTTACTTACCTATTACCTACTTAGCCCTATTTATCTTTACAACAATTGAGATATTACTTTCCTAAATGTGTTTATCAACTTTCCCTGTGAGAGGAAACGGGAGCGTCCCGAGAAAATCCACGAGTTTCGGCCCGAGCATTGATTCTTTTCACACATAGTCTGTGGAGATGTGATGGTCTGGAAGCCCGGCAAGCTTCAAAGCAACAAAACAGAAGACCTTTGTTTGATGTTTAACAACTGTACCCCACCGCGCATAAATCCTTTGTTTCAACTTCATTAAATATTATTCATCGTGGCGTCTTAGCCATCCCATTGGACGGCTACCTACGAAAATACAATGAGTTCGATCACCGTGCACAAATTAACATACAGTAAATACAGACAAAAACATAATACAATGACTTCTGTTTTGTTTCCAGACCATCATATCTTGATAGACATTTCACGTGAGTCCTTAAAGGCGACAATTGAACCCGCAATCTCAGAAGTGCATGAAAGGCTCTTGCTCTGACACGTACTGGTCGTGTCAGGTGAAAGATTTTTACTTAATTCATCACGCAATGTCAGAAAATTTAACAAGCAACCAATATTATGGTTTAGATCAGTTCAGGAAAATCCACTGCAAGCAAATTTGCATATTTTCGAAGTCTACGTGAAAGAATTCTTGTTCTTCAGATGTTTGGACGCATGTCTTCAAATATGTTGGTGTCACTGATTCTTATTGCAATGTTAAGAGAAGCCATTTCCTGCCAACAAGGTCAATATAATTGTGAGCATGGAAATGCTTGTCATCCACACCCAAGACATGAAAGAAGATGTACAACAGAGAGTTTCTTACAAGGCTACAGAGACTGCATAAAAAGTTGTTGTAAGTAATGTGTATGTGGACATTAGACTGATGGAAGTCACGTATCAGCTTTATTACCATAAACCTGAAACCATGAGTTAGGTGTTAGCTGACGCCATAGCAAGTGATTTTGAATACCACTGGAAAATGTAATTTTGCGAATGGCTATGTTAATTTGAGATCGTTACTCGAATATTTTCAAACTGGAATGATCAACCATCTCTGACGAGATCAAACACCCTCTCACAAAGCTGATACTTTTAATCCTTCCATCTGCAATATTTATTTCTGGTGATTCCCCATATACTGCGGGTAGTTCTAATCCGGTTACAAACAAACAAGTTTCCTACGACAAGTTTTCATTCGGCATGTTTTATATGTCAATTCCACGTGTGTATACGTACAACAAATTTGCTATATGTTTCTGACCGCTATGATAGCTATTATAACAATAGATCGTTGGCAACGGCATGCAAGTGCTCAAAATACTTCGCCAACTTTTCTTTGTTACAGACGAGAGAAATTTACTTTGCCAATTTACTTTTACGGTAAACGTAATAATTGTCAGACTGGAACCAGTACGTACATTTCGTCTACCGGGTTGATGCTTTATCGAAAATTATTATAGAATTTTAACATTTTGCGTCCACTGAAAGAACTAATTGCGAATAATAAGGACATGTATAAATAAAATTTGGCATGAAAAAACCCAGATGCTTTCAAAGACCAGTGAATCACAATGCTGTAAACTTCAACATCCTTAGAAATTGTGAGCGAGACATCGAAAAGCAAAATTTGCGGGGAAAAGCTCACGAGCCCGCACTATTTTTATGCAGCGTCGACGAAAGTCCCCTTTGTTGGACTGTCATATTTCCAAGAGTGTGTTGATCGAGTTCATGCACCACTGCCACAAGATAAATGGATATTTCTATCTAGTATTCTCTTGAGATCAGTGTCTTATTTCCAGACATGCAAACATGAATACCATAAATCATGCTTGATTTTTTTTATTTTCCACCACAGCGAAGGAAATTGAAACATTCTACTACACTACAACTTGTGAGTCGGCTCAAGAAGCATTCACAGAGTTGATCAGTTATTGGTATTCGCTGCTAACAAAAGTTTGTGATTTTGCGCTGGTTTTTGGAATAATAATGATTGCTTGGTATTTCAAACCTGAAGGAAACCAACCGGTTCAGTCAGACGACAAAAACCTTGTGGAAATCAGAAAGCCGATTCAGGAAGAATTTCAAGACAGATCGAGAGACCGTTATCAGTCGAAAAGATAGTGAGATTTAAATAACTATTGAGAGAAATGGTACTCTATGCAACACCGCGGAAAAACGTCTGCGCATGCGCGTGCACGAGGATTTTTTAAATGCCAAATTGTAAACAAAAACATGGCTTTTTAATTATTTAAGGTAATTGAAACAAACAAAAAAATACACTAGACTGGTAGTTTAGACATGAATAAAAAGTTTTCGAACATTTAAAATCTAAAAAGAATTTAAATTAAAAATCACCGTTTAAGACCGGGAGGCGTGTGAACATTTCTTGAAAAATTGTCGAATATATACCAAACTTAAGACACAAAAGTTAAGAAAACTATCGAATAGTTAAGCATTTGCACACAATTTAATTGTGGAGTAAATCATCACCCTTAAATATAGTCAACGCAAAAATTATACATGCCACGCAATAAAAGTTGTGGGTCATATTTATTATAAACCTACAAAAAATATCTTTGTATGGTTCAGGTAAAGAACGTTTTATACAATAAATTTATCGACAGTCACCTTTGGTTTATTTTCTTGCATAATACTACTTCTTGCACATGTAGACTATAATTATTTTTAGTTTTTAGGTTGTCACGTTCATTATTCCGCTTGCATTTTCATAGAAAAGGCAAAACATCGAAGTCGCTCCTTGTCGCTTCCATTTTGAGTTTTTGACAACCTTCGGAACACCTGACACCACGTTCGCAATACAGATTTCAGTAATGTTGACGCATGCGCAGACGTTTTCCACGTTACTCTTTGCCAACTTATGCATGCTCATGCGCGTGTTTTGTTTGCATTTTAATTTCAAGCAATAGATAATTTAATTAAAATTCCGATCAGTTGGTCCACAGACCGGAATTTGAATTAAATTATCTATTGTTTGAAACTAAAAATGTACACAAAACACACGCATGGGCAGAACGTCCGACAGCCTCTTTAAACTATTAATCTCGGCTACGACTTTTCGCTACGTTTTGATTATTAAGACAAACACGAAACATATGTACATGAATCTTGATGTAAATATATAAACTTATTCAAACTCATCATTAATTAGGTAGCTTTTTGACGACCATCTCGCAAAGAGAGAATTAAAATGTAGGCATTTTTGAAAATTCAACTACATGCAAAATACCACAAGAACTTCGACGTTTTGTGTGAACGGCCTTCGTTTGGAAATTAGTGGGTTAGGGCCTTACTTTGACGCGTCAAAGTTGTTTTAGTATTTTTCAAGTAGTTGTATATCTTTTACAGTACTTGCAGTTTGAATCCCACACTCGGGTACCAACCGAAAATGTGCAATAGTTCCAACTACGTTGAGGGCTTGATTATAAGCAATGCTGTCAGCCCAGATTTGATTTGAAACGGATAGCCCGCGGGTATTATAATAACTTTGAAATTTGTGGTTTCTTAGTAAATTTGTGTTATTATAAACGAAAACAAAATTCTGTTAAGAAGCTAAATTTGTTTTGGAATATTTGCCTCTGCCTTGACGATTCGAACAGGTCAATATGGTATTTCTCCCACTGGCCTCTCCAACTGGATGAAAACTCAGAAAGTGCTTTCTATTTTGTAACTATAGAAGTAATTAATTCATATTTGGTTTAGCTTGTGCAGGGTCTATTTGGTTTGTTTCAATCTGTTGCGGGGTGCACTCAGGAGCCTGGGACATAATTGCCTGTCACGAGGTGCACTCAGGAGCCTGGGACATAATTGCCCCTTAAAATGAACACGGACACCCCATATGTTATATGTTACCCATATGTTATGATATGTTATGTTATGTTTTTATGTTGTGTATAAACAAGTACGTAAAAGCCTTTTATTTCATAAAGCTAGATCGATAACAATACGTTCTATAGTGTTTCTTTCAAATATCGAGTCCTAACCAAAACATTGTAGTTCGAGGTGTCCGTGTTCATTTTAAGGAGCAATTATGTCCCAGGCTCCTGAGTGCACCCCGTAACATCTATCTCCTTCAGAGTTCAACATAAACGTGTTTTTAAGCTTGTATTAGGATTCAGTCACATAGTCCTCGAGATATGCTGGTCTACGTGTTTGTCTATTGGATGTTCTCCTTGCCGTACCATTGGGAGCTGCATGCTCTTCAGGTTCATGAGCAACCAGTTCCTCGCATTCTGGCAGCTGCTGTCGGTCTGGCAAATCATGTTCTTCCATTGGCAATTCTATGTCTGCGTCTAATTCGTCTGGTTCCACAGTTTTCCGAAGATGCCTGCGATTTCTTCTATAGTTCCTCGATCATCAGTTGCAACAATATACGACCTCGGACTAGCAATCGCTTTCACCTTTCCTTTCCTCCAGCTTTTCTTTCCTTTCTCGGGCATCATACCGACTGCATCACCGACCTTGAGTGTTGGAAGTTTCTTTGATCCTTTGTTGTAATAGTAAGCTTGTTTAGTTTTTGCCTGTTGCAGCTCCTGTTTTGTAGAATGCATACAGGTAGGCTCAAGCAGTTTAGGCGAGGTTGGAATTGTGGATCTTGTTCTCCTTCCAAATAATCGTTGTGCTGGCGAGGTACTCATACCTTCTGATGGTGTGTTCCTGTGTTCGAGCATGGCCATGTAAGGATCTGCTTTCGCGTCTAACGCTTTCATCATAATTCGCTTTGCTGTCTTCACAGCACTTAAGCTTTCCGCTTTCCCGTTTGATTGAGGATATCGAGGCGACGAGGTTACATGTTCGAATTCATATTGCGCAGCAAAGTCCTGAAACTCGCTGAAACTGTACTGTGGCCCGTTATCACTGACTACCCGCTCAGGTACACCGCAACGTGCCATGTGTGCCTTTAATTTTTGGATAACTTCAGTGCTTGTCTTCGAGTATAATCTGTCTACTTCTATAAAGTTAGAGTAATAATCAATCAATCAATCAGTCAATCAATCAATCAATCAATCAATCAATCAATCAATCAAAACAATTTATTTATCCACGGTAAAATCTTCAGTTACAAAGTAATACAATACATACAATACACGATACACATTTAAAATACGTACATGATAAAGATATTAACTGATTTACAAGATTGCCGTGTGGGAATCAGATTACGTTATCATAATATTTATTAATTGTCTTCTTAAACTGTGGTAACGATTGGCATTTTCTTATATCTTGCGGAAGACTATTAAACAATACAGCCCCACTATAACAAAAACCTTTTTTCATCAATAATCTGTCCGTGGCTTGAGGACATTTAATCTCATTACAGAGTTTCTAATATTATACCCAATGCCACGAACAGAGAAAAGTTCCTGCAAATAAGTGGGGGCTTTCCCATTAGGAATTTTAAACATTAAATTAGCCTTCAATTTTTTCCTACGCAAAGAGAGATTATCCCAGTGCAGCACATCAAAGAGCGCACCCGTACAGGCCGTACTGGCATTATAACTCGCTTGCATAACAATCCTTGCTGCTCTATTCTGCAGCTTTTGTATTTTGGAACTTAGTATTTGACCTAGACCATCCCAGACCGAGCAACAATAGTCGAAATGTGGTTGTATCAACGCTCGGTATACACGAATGGCCGCGTCAGTTGTTACATATGGTCTAATACGCTTTAAAGCGCCAATTGCCGAAGCAATTTTCTTAGATATTTTCTCAATATGTGTTGACCAATTTAGATGTTTATCAATATATACCCCCAGAGATTTGACTGAATCGACTTTTTCAACATCACAATCATTGATTTCAACCGTTTTTCTGTCGTCCATAGCACTCATTCTTTGTCGAGATTCAATTAGCATAAACTCTGTTTTAGCAATATTTTGGCTTAGTTTATTTGTGTTCAGCCATTTGTGAAGGTTTTCCAATTCAGAGTTTACGACACTTTGGAGCTCGTCCGTAGAATTTGCCGGGTAACTAATGCTAGTGTCATCCGCAAACATTCTCGGGATGGCACAATTAAGACAATTTGGTAAGTCATTAATATATACGAGGAATAACAATGGTCCCAAATTGCTCCCCTGCGGAACACCACAGGTAACTGGATTTGAACTTGACAAATGGTCATTTACACGGCATTTTTGAGTTCTATTGGTAAGATACGGCTCAAACCATTTAAGACTATTCAAGTCGACTCCATAATTTCCCAACTTTTTTAAAATAATATTATGATCAATGGTGTCGAATGCTTTCTTTAAATCTATAACAACAACTCCATTAATCAGACCATTGTCAATGTTCACAGACCAGCTATTTGTGGCTTCGACCAATGCCGTTAGAGTGCTGTGTAACGATCAAAATCCCGATTGACAGGTGGTCAAAAGATTATAATTATTCAAATATTCGTAGAGTTGTTCATAAACAATTTTCTCAAAAATTTTAGCAATAACAGGAATGACAGATATAGTGCGATAATTACTAGGATCATTCCTAGCACCGCTTTTGTACACTGGTGAAACCCTGCTCTCTTTCCATTCGTGTGGAAATATTCCCGTATTAATAGACGCTGTATATATTGCCGTTAGGGAAGGTGCAACAACATCAGCAGCTATCTTAAGTAATTTACTGGGTATCTTATCAAGGCCAACTGATTTTTTTACATCAATTTTTGTCAATAACTTATAAATTGTATCAACAGAGGGAGTCTTCAAAGAAAACATGCTATTAGTTGGCTTGAGATAATACTCTGGGCCATTTTCTGTTAAAACGATGTCAGAAGCAAGATTGCTACCAACAGTAGAGAAATAGTTATTGAATGCTTCTGATATCACAATGGGTGAGGTAATAACTTGCTCTCCCAACTTAATTTCTGATAATTTTTTAGTTTTGCTTGCTTGAATGTTTTGAACTAACTTAATTGATTAGCTTCCATGTCTTCCTCATATTGCCTTTATGTAGCTCATATTGCCTTTATGTAATCCACTGTAACAAGATATGTTATGTTATGAACACGACATCACAAACTGCCTAATTTACTAACACTACTAATACACTGTTCAAATTATCATAATCCTATAGATCTATGTCAAAATACAATCACGAGTTCATATTTTGCGATCAGCAGGCGAGCACCATGAAGCATCCTAATATCAGGTCGTCAGGTGTGAGAGCATATTCCTGGATTGTGTGCTTGACCATAACTAACAGTAACTTATCTAGTGTATTCTCCTCTCAATGAATGGAAACAATTCAAGGTTAAACTCATCAAGTTATTTAACGAAAGGACGTTCAAGGTGATATTCACGTGAACGAACGTTCCATTTGGGCTCTCCCTTCGGGGAAACATGCACTTCTGATTGCGTTGGTAACAAAATATTTACACAGGTGTGTTTATTTTAATCAAACATAATCTGCGTAATCTTTGTGCAAGTACTATGAACAAGCTCGTCTGATTGCGAGACTCCCAACATGAAACTGGTAAAGAAGAATTCCTATAGTGCCGTAATGACACAAACGAATCAGAGTTGGGATGTGAAAAGTTTAAACTTAGCTAAAGCAAGCGTTTCTAGCGTAAGGGTTTGTCCCGTGATTGGTTTAAAATGAGTTCCAAACAATGCAATAGTATTTGTGATTGATGTGTTGAAGGATACATTGAGAGATGAAAGATGAACATGAATATTGCTGACAGCACTTTATTTATTGCACAATTACGACCTTTTAATTGTCCCTAACTTTTCTCATTAAACGATAAACGATGTTGTGATTGACTGTTATTGCAAGATGAAGCACTACTGATACATCAAAGTTCAATCAAATGTGAAAAAAGAAAAATCTTTATCGTACATGCACTGATCGACACTGATCTGAAAGAATTGCTGCTCTTCTGATAATGGGACGCATGCTTTCAGGCCCTCTTTTTTTAAGAATTTGTCAGTGGAGGGGCCAACAAGGGAACCAGAGAAAGGGAACAAGAGAAAGGGAACCAATTAAGAGGTAGTGAACGGGAAAAGTGGAACGTGTCTGGCCCAGAAAAATTTTGTATTTTCTCCGAGCCGACGACGCGAAGCGCCGTGCGCGGGTACTAATTCCGTCCGGCTATTTACACCCGGGGAAAGGAACGCACTAGCGAAGCCTAAAGTTCATCAAATATGGTGGGCTCATGGCTCACCGTTCATGGGTGGTCCGTCATCCTCACTGATCTCAAAATATGTAGCGGACTGTCGTGAATAGTGAACACTGATTGGTCAAATTTGAAATTGGCATTATAACGACTGCATTGACTTTCACCTTATAATAAAGCATAATCAAGATTATTTCAGAAAGTCTTATTTCATCAGATCAGCAAAACTTTGGAACAGTCTTCCCCCAGTCATAAAAACTTCTAATACTCTAACTTCATTTAGAACACGCGTAATAAATTTGTATAATAGCAAATTAATAACATACAATCCTCCCAGTATTAGCTATTAATATATTGAATGTTTTGTATTGAGTGTAAATATTTGTTAAGTGACGTTTAGTATAGTATAGCTATATGTTAGTACATAGTTAACAAAGGGATGAGGTAATAATTGGGATGAAAATTCTGTTCCTTGTTCCTGTCATATACTGTAGTGTTATATTGTTGTAACGTTTTCACATTTGTGACAAATTTAATAATAATAATAATAATAATAATAATTGGCGACAGCGAAATAACAAACATTTCTTTCAAGTTGTATTTTTGCAAGATTTTGTAAATTTCAAAACCTTTCTGAGAGCCAAAAAACGTATAAAAACTTCTAAAAGAATGGAGCAAAGTCGCCGACGTTAATGAAGGTAAGTTTTAAATAGTAATGTATTGTTTGTTTTATAATTTATATATTTATAACTTATAGTGATGGGCGATACTGCGAATATCGAACTGATATACTATCGTTGCTTATATATAAGTGAAAAAAGACAGCATATAATTTCAGTGTAGTTTTATTAATTACCCTTTCTTTTGTATATTAAAATATTTAAATAAAGAGGAAAGCAAAGTTATTTTCATGCGAGAATTTGAAATCAGTTTATTTCAAACTCAATGTTTACCGATAATTCGATAAAAGGCCGTTTAGTTCTAAGAAGATTTTAAAACGTTTTACGAAGCGTTTGTGGTTGAATTTTACATTAAATTGAAGCTTATATTACGTATAATAACATATCTAGCATATATATGTTTGGGAAATTGATAATTTTGTTATTAAAAGTGATATTTTGGAGGGCTTTTTCAATTTTAAAACTATTCTTAAAATTATCGTGTTACCATGACAATTAACTATACCTTCAACTCTTCATATTCAGAAAACATAATGTTTTATCAGTAAGGCGAGGGTTTCTGCATGCATGTATTTTCTAGTTAGACACAATATTTCAGTATATATTTCATCCGCTAGACAAAGATTTGGTCATAGGAATACTAAAATACTCTTCTTATAACTAAGTTATTATTTCGTTTTTTGCTTATATTTTACACAGAATGGACCTTTAGGGGGGTGACGAACATGGTTCACTGGAGGGGCCAAAACAGGGCTTGGGGAGCAGTGACAATCACCCTCCCAGCCCCCTCCCTCCAGTCTATGGTATTAAGAAGCCCTGATTGCTTTAGCGTCATAATTTTTATAATTACCGCAATTTATTGTTCTTGGTAACAGATGAATCGACTTTATCTTGCGGACGTAACCGATCATGTCGATCGTGATCCCAATTGGAAGAGGAATAACATCAGTTTCCTTAAGACCTTAACTGTCTGGAGGCCTGTAGAATATTCCAATCAGAAAATTTTTAGAGTCCTCTAACATAAGTTCAGTACAAATACATTAAATGATTAAATGATATCGCTTTCCAGATCATTTCGGCACTTGTTCGAAATGTAACTGCCGTTCCAGTTTATTGACTCGCTAACATATGTTTAGCCAGGGGTATCGAAAAGTGATTCAGGGTCTTAATTATAGTTACTATGCGTTTCACTCAACGATAAAACTAATGCCTTTAAAGTTTTGAAGCAATTCAGTGATATAGAGTTTGTTCGAAAATAGTCCATTTACATATTGATGAAACATTTTTAAACCACTCTGTTTTTAAGCAATAGCAATGCGTTAAACTCTGGAACATTCCTTTGATCTCTCCTTTAATATCAAAACGAAGAGGTTTATTAGGCATCCTCTTGATGAACGAACACGTAGAGCAAGTTTCCCGCCATATCGTTGCCACATATACTTGATAAGATGTGCGTTTCCTTGTTAAGACATATATATTACCTGACCTTCAGCAGCTAAATGAATGCTGTCAGTACTTGTAA